TATATATGTATCTATATATTTATATATAATATAAATATATGTACATGTATATATATTTACATTTATGAGTGCGTGTGTGTGTGAACACGCACATATAAGTGTGTGCGTGTGTGTGTGTAAAGAGAGAGAGAGAGAGAGAAGAAATCAATTAACACCAGTGTAAGTGTAAAAGACTTGCACCAAATATTACACCGTTGATTTGGTCAAAATTTACGGATGAGATTAATTACAGCTGTCTTCCAATAATTTTCAATAATTAATTTGCAGTTAATTAATCTCATCCGTTAATTTTGACTAAATAAATGATGTAAGATTTGGTGCAAATCTTTTACACTTACACTCGGTGTGAATTGATCCCTTCTCATATATAAAATATGTACATATGTGTTTATTAATATTTTTTTTATAGAGGAGAAATATTTTCAAAATTTTGGTTTTTGGTTTAGGATGGTTTGGTTTGGTTTAGTTTTTAGACCAAAGCAAACCACAATTTTGGATTATTTTTTTAAACCAAATCAAACCGAACCAAATTAAATTTAAAAAAACCAAACCAAATTTAAAATTTGGTTTGGTATAGTTTGGTTAATGGGCTTGGTTTTGCACACCCCTATGAGTCTTATTCTATTTTACCTTTCCTAAGAAATTCATCTGCTAGTAATTGTATTCTGTTTTCTGTTCTTAGCTATCTTGAAAATTGTATTTTTATATATCATTTGCAATTCCAGGAAAAAATAGTTTTTGAGAATTTTAAAAACAACTTTTTGTTATTTTTAAAAAAGGTCCCCACTTTCTAAGAACTCTACTGAAACAATATTTTGAAATAATCTGCCAAATAGGTTTCTGTTTGCAGAAACAGAAACCTATTTTCAGAAACAAATTCAAATAGGTCCACAGTACATATTGAGGACATATACTAAATCATCTGACCCCATATTTTATATAGTCAAACAGGGGGAATTGGTAAATGACTAAATCAATAAATATAGAAAATTAAATGTCTAATTTTCTTATCCATTTAGGCAAGGAATTTTAAATTAAACTCCCTCTATATGTATATTTTATGGTATAACCTTGTTTCAATCAAATTATTAATTTATTTTGAAGGGGCAAATTGATGAAAAAAAATATTTTTGGAGGGTCAGCCCATGAAAAAAATTATCTCTGCAATGTTCAGATTATAAACTTTAGATAATATTGGGTTCCTTCAGTCCAACACATACTGCCCCTCTTCTTTTTCTTATATTCCATGACAGAAAACAAAAAAAAAATACTTGTGCATTTTGTTGTCTTAGCTACAATATTATGAACCCTTGCAAGTAAAGTTTTTTTTTTTTTTAATAAAAAAAACTTTAAAAAACACTGGAAACCTACTCAGGGACATTGTAAACCTAAAAAAAGTAGAGGAAGTTGGTTATTTAGAAAAAGCTTATGTTCTATATTGAATTTTCAATGATGCATTTGAATCGAAATGCAAAAGAACCTATATCTCCTATCTCTTATTCCTATTCCCCATTCTTTTATATTCAAATTGAAAAAGGTAGTCCAATTATCTCTGTAAATCTCTGAATTTCTAAACAAGAGGGAGTTCTTGGTACTATAATTGAATTCAATTAAGGGTATTAAGTCTCTTCTTAAGACTCGGTTAGGGTAAAATAAAAAAAAAAGAGTAAGGACTAAATTTATACTCGTTTGGCTTTGCACCTAGACAAGAGAGCCAGCATGTCATATTTTGTTTTAAATTTCTAGTTTGTATTATGTTAATTACTATTTATATATCCAACAGAGCTATTATTTTTCTATTTTTTCTACATGCTAAGTAAATAATGAGACTGCCATGTGAACCTACATGCACATGGCATCCAAAGGAGTTTCCACATTCTCATCAGAATGCAAAACAATTATGAAGGACATAAAGCTAAGGGTCAATCTCTCCATCAGCTTGATAGGCCAGATGTCAGCCCCTTTAAGACACCAAATCTTAATACTATTTAAACTCAAGCTACTCCCCCCCCCCCCCCCCTCCCCCACACCCCCAATCCCTTTTTCTCTCTGGTATTGCTTAACTCCTGGTTTGGTATCATCTGGGAGGACTCCAGATTGGGCAGCTAACACCTTCCCAAATCCAACTCCCCAACAACCCTCCAACTCATCCTTGGTACTGATCATTACTAATACTATACCCATAATTTCCTATAGATAATGGAACTTCTGATTTCCACATAGCTAACCTTCATAAGAAAAACATCTTCAAGGACACACTAAGCAAACCATACTTATCCCAGGTGAGAACACAAATGCTCTACTCAGTACTCTTCGTCCTACAGATAAATAAACTGGAAATGTATCTTGACATAATCTCATGAGTTCATAGGAAATAGAAGCAACAGCATTTCCTTACCCCAAGAGTCTTCTGTGGATCATCTATAGCCCTTTTAGCTGCCTCAACCGTCTTGTATGTAACAAAGCCAAAACCTCTACACAACAAAAAATTATTGCAAATGAAACAAAATTTAAATGTGGTAACACAATTACATATGGTATATAATAGCAGCAGCAGCAGCAATTGTAGTAATGATAACCACAACTGTAAGAATAGAGAGACAATGGAGAAAACCAATAATTGGAAATATGCATTGGCTAAATCACCATATGCTGAACTTGCGTTTATACTAAATTGTACGGATATATATGGAAACTAAACCTAGGTTATACAATGTACACAAGAACAGTATGTGCGCAAGGATATTGCAGCACTCTCCCTCAAACTAGAGCATATAAATCTTATGCATCAAGCTTGTTATAGATATAATCAACCTGAGAACCAATATCTACTAACTAGTCATTTGAGTTAATAAAGTCTACAGTATTAGCAATATATTTTCTCTTTGACAAAGTGCAATCTCAACATGTTTCATCTGGCTATAGGGAGTGCTACTTGGTTGTCACATATTAGTTTCATTTGACTGAGTTCTCCAAATTTTGATTCTTGAAATAACTGTTTCGACCAAATAAGCTCACAACTTGCCAAGAGTATAATGCGATATTCTGCATTTGCACTTGATTTGACTACCACCTTCTGTTTCACAATACCTAAAAGTACACCATCTATCTAATGGTAATCCTACCTATTCGGCATCTAAATAGCAAACAATTTGGATGTTTCCTCTATATTCATATAACAATCCTTTTCCCATGCTCTATTGATGTACCTTAGAATGCGAAACCCAAACATCCCAACAATTGTCACATGGAGACTCAAGAAACTCACAAACTATACTAGAAGCAAAAGAGATATTATGCCATTTTACTGCGAGATAGACAAATTTTCCAACTAGTCTTCATTACCTACCAAGGTCTGCCAGGAGCTCACCTTATTGAGTAAAATGACTGACTAAATATTGAGTGATTTGACTCATTTTGAGTCACACCAAACTCTGGAACTACCACAGGGAATCGACCAAACCGAACCTATGGAGATTGCTCCAAACTAAAAAGATAGTGACGTAGTGGAAATACCAAGCCAAACTCCCCTCAAGTAACAAAGTCAAGTGGTTGCTCCATTTACTTTAACTCCCCATGTAAGAAAGCATTTTTGATGTCAAGATGATCAAAATACCATTTATGAATGGCAGCTACTGAGAAAAGCCACAAAGATGAACAACAGATTGATGCTATCTTAGCTACAAGAAAGAAGGTATACTTGTAATCTAGGCCAAAGATCTAGGTGTAGCCTTTAACGACCAGATGGCTTTAAGTCGATCAAAATTGCCACTAGAACCAACCTTCACTATAAAGCTCGACAACAACCCATAATATTTTTTTTCGAGTGGTAGTAGCAAGTTCCTAAGTGCCACTAGAATGTAAAGTAGTCATTGCATTAATCATAACTTGTTGCCAACCAAGATGTGAAATTGCATCACCTAGTTCTAAGAATAAAGAAAGACAAAGAAGATATAAAAACATAATGTGGTGGTGAGGCAACCAAGGGAACTAGAGCTACAGAGACTGTTGGATTGGGAATAGGTGGATTATGACATGGGCAACAATGATAAGTATTGAGAGGACAAGATGTAGACTCTGAAACAAAAGGAAATACAGGCAATGCACCAAATGAAGGAAAGGAATGAACTTCAATAATAGTATTATGATCTAAAAGAATTTCAGCAGATGCAAAAAAAGGGACTAGTCTCAAAACAAGGTAACATCTACAGTCATGACATATCGACAAAGATTAGAAGAGTAACAGCGGTAACCTTTTTAAGATGAGAATTTTCAATCAAAACACATTTAAAAGAACAGGCTGATAATTTGTCATTGCTTGGAGGCAAACAAAATACATGGAGCTACACACATGCAACAAAAAGGAATAGAGTGTTTAATGAGGAAATATAATGGCATGCGATTAATTAAATATCATGAAGAACTGCATTGGACCAAAATCACAAGGAAACATGAGTATGGAGAAGAAGAGTAAGAGCTGTTGCAATCAAGTGCCTTTTCTTTCATTCAATAACTCCGTTTTGCTGAGGAATAGTATCCCAACAAGAGGTTTGATGAATCATAACCTGATAAGTCCCTAAATATTGAAAGGGACTCAAAACAAATGATCAGGCATCATCACTGCATGATATATGAAGAGGCACACCAAATTGGTTTTATATCTTAAAGCAAAAGTTTTCAAAGACAGTAAAAATAATCAAATACAACAAGAATAATCATCAACAAAGGTGGGAGATCATGAAAACAAAAAGTATAACCAACACAACAAGGACACCATACACGGGAATGAACAAAGGAGAAGGGGGACCCAACCTATAGGATAACATGGACAAAAAATGAAATACAAACATGTTTACCAAGTTGACATGATTCATGTTCTAAAGATAAAAAGCAACTCTATATAAAACTAGCTTATACAAGGATATCCTAACAAGGATAAACAGTATGAAAATGGTGATAATATGCTGCTTCCTTTACATAATAGAAAGGTGATTGATTTTCTACCGTGATTTGTTTGTGTCTTTATCATATGCAACTGAACCCTCCTCTATCTCACCATGCCTTCCAAAGAAAGACAGCAACATCTCACTTGCTGTGTCAGGAGACAAACCACCGATATAAAGCTTTCTCTGGCCGAGATCTGGTGGAACATTTGTATAGCTTAAGCTTTCATAAGCAAGATTACAAACAGCCATCCGACCCTAAAATGATATGCATCAACATCAGAAACAGAAAAATGAGCACAGAAACAAATAGTAAAAGGAAAAGATCCTAGGTCAACAGCAAAGATTCAGAACTCATGAGCTTTTTAGTCTTCAAAAGATAATACTTCAATAACTTAAACAATAATTCGCAACTTACAAGATGTTATTGCATGAGAAAGTTTTGTCATTAATAACTAACAAGTAATATCCAGTCCCACTTATATGTCACCATAAATAAATAACTTCCATCAATGGTACAGAATATAGATAGACAAACAACCTCTCAAGCAATTTAATAGCATCAAGTTCCATATCCAATTTGTTTCAACTATTTAACATAAAAAACAGAAAAACAAACACATACTCAGAGAGAGAGAGAGAGAGAGCAAGCAAGAGCAAGAGAGAGTTAGAAGCAGGGGGGTGTTAAGAAAGGTTAAACTGGCTCACATCGATCATTTTGCTAGGTGCTTTTAATGCAGCCTGAGCAGACTCCATGTATTTGTAGGTTATGAAACCATAACCACGTGACCTTCCTGTTGCTTTGTCAAAGATCACGGCCCCTTCTTCAATTTCCCCATGCTCTTGAAATGCCTAGGCGAAAACACGTGGATATGAAATTCAGTTTGTTGATGCTCGGTGCAATGAGACTTTCAATCATAGAAAACGCCATCATACAAGTCAAGAGGTCAGTCTAAAAGAGAAGTACACGGTACATGACACTCCCATATTATTGAATTATTATGTTCAAAACTATTTATATGAGATAACAACAAACATAGTAAAAAGCACAACCAACAGTCGGCAGCACACTCACAGCACACAATGTTTCTGATGTAGTATTCCAGGCCAAGCCACGAACAAAAAGCTTTCGGTGAACGGGATCAGAACTTGCAATACCTTTAATTTCTTCAGCAATAGAAGGATATTGGGACCCTCTACATGCACAACATGCAACCAAGCATACATTCACAGTGTCAATTCACACAGCATATATGGCATCCACCAAGCACAAAACTCTCACCATCTCGTATGTAATATACACCAGGATCTCATATTAAACGTTAGTTTTAACAAGAAGACAGGCACAAATGCACATGCATGCACAAATATGTTGATATAAATACAAATACTCACAAAATCAAGCAAAACAGAAGCACATATGCATGCATACCAGCAAGCAAACTTATGATTACAAAGCACTCAAGAGTACTTATTATGTCCTGCTGATATACCAGCAAAAACCAATAGTAAGACAAGCGAAGGAGGCACTAAAGGTCATGCCTTGACTCGGTCTGCAAAAGATTTGGTACAGAAGTCTGAAGTTCATGTCATGCAAAAGTTGCAGAAAACACATGCCTAATTCTTGGAATATTCTTTCTACAACACTGCTTCACCAACCAAAAGTCATAGTCTTCATTAGAAGGTGATCACTATGAACAAATGTGGATAAAGCATTTATTTGGAGTAGACTGAAACAACCATAAGACAGACTTGGGTTCATTAACATTCAGAAACTCAAGTCAGCTTAACTAGCTACATTACTCCTTATTTGCCATTCTACTCCATCTAGTGCTTAGTCTCAGACTCCCAGTCTTGGTTATATGATGATACACTTATTAACCCACCAATAATATATCCTTGGATTATCTCAAGCAGTCCCATGCTAAGTGAGACTTGTTAACCCCCTTATTTGCCGAAATTTCTAATTATACTCAAACTCGAGCTATTCAATACAAGCATCACAGAAGTAACATGTCAAGGGAGATAAAAATCAACCATGCATGTTAAGGTAATACCAGCAAGTGCCAGAATGCTGCAAACTTCATTTGGTTAGACAAGCATATTCAGTTTGGAAGTCTTAGACAAAGCTTATAGTCTTTATGCTACCCAAGAATACTTCTGGGATTAAAAAAAAAAGAGTATCCCTGAGGTGCACTGCTTGAAGCACTCTTTATTATTGAGTTTAGTTAGAAAAGCAAATATTGTTAACATTTATATTTTCAGGACATCGGCTGTCATTTTGGTCAACAGGTCAAAGAAAAAGTTATGTCTTTAAGTATTGTATACAGTGTGTGTTAAGTTCACATAATTCGTTACATATCCTTATACTTCCTCTATATGCATATAATGTTTCTTTCGAATGGATTCCTTCCTATCTTCTTTCTTTTTAGCTTAAAACACTCCAGCTACTAGTGTTCTGGAACAAATCACACTCCCCGTTTTAGACTAAAGCCCATGTTCCATAGATACAAGTACATGTTTCAGGTGTACTAGCATCACATTCATCTAATTCCCATTTCAAAGGGCAAGGGACACAGCAAGACAGCTATATACTTAATATGCTTTTAACTTTTTAAGACAAATGGTCTTTACAATGTGAAATGAAGCATGTAATGCATAATTTAGGAATTTATCACACAAATATATGACAAATTAGAACTTCTCAACCAGCCAGTTGGACAAATACCCAACTAAAAGTGGCAGAGACATATCTTCATACTCTTGTTCAGAGGCCAAGTATTTGAAACAAGAACTTCATTTACAATAATCCTAGTAGCTTCCTTCCCCACTCAGTCCCGCTGCAACCTCTTGATCTTCAATCTAAACATTAAGCCACCCACTAAAGCCTCAAGCTATGTTGTTTGTATAAACTTAGAAATTTTCACTTCTAATCAACAAGCCAATAATATTTTTTTTCCCAAGTTATAGATCTAACAGCTCTCTACCCTTTAAAACCTAAAACTAAAAGCTTTTTTAGATGAAAAGGCTAAGCATCTCCTTCTACCAGACTGAAATCCATTTTTCCTAAAGCTTTGCTGCAATGAAACTGCCCCTGCTAGCCATTGAAAATATTCAGCAAAGCAATTGAAACTACCTTTGGTGTTTCAAAATGTATCACAAGGTCCTCAAGTCTGCTCAAAAACACAATAAAATCAGAAACACTTCTAGAAAATTCATTATAATTAGGACAGACAAAAGACACATCTAGAACGCTCAAATGTAAGGCTTCTGTGTTAAAAAAAATCCACTCTTCAGCTTCTTACCTACTTCAGGATCTCTTAGCTTCAGAATGATGCATGCAAACACAAAGCAGTTAACTTTAAAAAAATCATATTGTTTATTAATTCGAAGAGCTTAACACCTCTCCTTCTTTTTTCATTTCTTTTTTTTTTCCTATGTATTTAAGGGGTTGGGAAAGAAATGGGAGCACTTTATGACAAGAAGCAGAAAAGAAAAAAGGTTATTAACATGGCTCCTTCATCAAAATAAGAATAATATGGTCAATCTCAAGCATGGAAGAGTTTCAGAAGTCAATTTTCTGTTATTCTAAATAAAATAAATTCTGGCTATAATATCTAGAACTCCAAATCAACCAAGAATCTCAGGAACCAGAAAGGTTACTGCTATCTGATCAAATATCATGCATAATACAGTTTCAGTAATCAAGTCTGCAATAATTGTAGATTAAAAATATTCTGTCCGTATATCAACAACTACCAACCAACTCAGAACGCGAGGAAGTAGGATATGAAGATCTAAAGATATTAAACCCAAAACACAAAAGGCAAAAATTGGTCTAATAACCATTTCTAAAACACCAATATTAAAAAAATAAATAAATAAAACCTTTGCCCGTACAAATTGTATGTGTGCTTTTACAAATTCTGACTACCAACTGTTCGACGCAATACTAGGAGAAAAACGCGCAAGCGCACTGCAAGTATTCGAGAATATGAACAGCCTACACATTGATACCAAAACAATAGAAACAATCCACAAAATATAGTTCAGAAACTATGAATAGAGAGAAACCACAGGAATTGGAAAGGGTAAGTTGGGTGTAATGAAGTGAAAACGTACAGCTTGGCAAGTAGATCGACCAACTGGGTTTTGGCAAGGGGGTCGAGCAACGACCGCAAGTGTTCTTCGGACGACGCCGAATATAATCGACCGTTGCCTGTTTCGTCAAGCTTCCGCTTCTTGAAATCCTCCATATTCTTCTTCAACCCTCCCCCGTTACCCCCCTCTGGTAACAGTGCCTCCCGCGTGACAATCCCCCACCTTTATCCAAAACCGTGTTTTTCCCCAGTACTGAAAAAGGAAAGTGACGGAAAAAATGAAAACTCTTTTTGCCAATTTTGGTGAAAAATTACATTTTAGTAATTTTATATTTTTTAAGAATAACTTGTATTTTATATTTTAAATTTTTTAATATTATATTTCTTAAAAATTCATAAAATAGACTTTTTTTTTTTACAAATATTAAATTTGTAACATTCACTCCTCTAAAAACACGTAAAAAAAAATTTTTTTACTATAAATATTAAATTTATAATACATAACTCCTAGTAAACATTTAAGTAAAGTATTTATTAAAAATTCTATTTTTAAAAAATTTAAATATTATTTCAGTTATAAATATTAATTGATTTTCTCCCATTTCAATATTTGCAATCATTATTTATGTTTAAAAAAATATTTATACCCTTAAAAACATATTTTTAATAAATATTTGAAAGAGTCATGAAACTTATATTAAATTTTTAAAAAATAATTTTTATAATTAAAGAGTTATGAAATTTTAATATTTATAGTTATTATTTATACTAAAAAAATATTTATACTCTTTAAAAATAAAATTTTTGATTAATATTTTAAAATAAAAAATTTTAAATAAGTTTGAGTTGTAGAAAAATTAATAATTCATTTTACAGCGTAAGATTTTATTCTTATTACTAAAATTATGTTTTTAAAATTTAATATAAATTTTATAACTTTTTAATTATATAAATTATATTTTCTATAAATTTAATAGAAATTAATATTATTATGTTTTATATATTAAATGTATTTAGTTGATTACGGGGTAAGTGATATAAATTTAATATTTATATAAGAAAAAATCTTTTTTATATATTTTTAAAGGGTTAAGTGTTATAAATTTAATATTTGTAAGAGAGAAAGTCTCTTTTTTGTATTTTTAGAGAGTATAGTATTAAAATTTAAAATTTTAATTAAATAACGTGTTATTTATCTTGTTTATGTATATTTTATTCCAGTAGATAAAAGAAAAAAATTACTCAATATTATGATATTTAAGCCAGAAATTTGCTTTTAGAATTACAGTTTTAGCTCTACAACGGTGAAATAAATTACCTAAGAAGTACAGTCTTATGTAGTCTTATGTAATTTATTTCACCGTTACGGTAAATTCAAAGTTTAACCAACATTTAGTTTTCAGAGTTCATTATTTGCAATTCGTATTTACAATCTCATTAATAAAAAAAATAAAACGAGTCATGAGTCCCATAGCACCCCGATCCAGTCCCGTCATGTCTATATACATGTATAGTCGTGTCTGTATATATATATTAAAATTGATAATATTTTTTATTATTTATTAATTCAAATAATTATTATATATAATTAAGATAATATATATTTTTGATATTATATCAAATTTATATATTTTTATATTTATATTTAATATTTTATATAGAGCAAGGCGTAGTAATTATAAAATAATAAAAAGATTATTACCACTTCTTCCAAAGGGTTTATTTTTTTATTTTTTATTTGTATGCCACTGCCGAATAATAAAATTTAATGTAACATAAAAGTGTGAGGGCTGTCACATGATCGTAAGGAAGCTTAGATCAGGACAACATTAAAATGGCAAGAGCATTGAAAGTTGAGACTTAAAGAATATGGCAAAGGTTTAAACTTGACTGAAATTTGGATTGTAAAAAAGTTATTTTAGAATTAGATTTTAAACTTTTAGTAGACATTTTTTTAGGGTAAACGCACTACCGCATGTGAATTCCAACTTTGCCTAAAATTAAAACTTATCTAAAATAGGATTGGATTTTAGAAGTGTACTATATGATTAGAGAAATGAACAAAACTGCTGATATAACGGTAAATTTTAACTTATCCCATGATGCGAGTGCTAAAGATTGGGCTTACTCCCAATCAACTCAACTGAGAGACCACCTCCATAACGAGACTTTGGGAGTTTTTACTTCTCGGGACGAAACTTTGTAATTTTTTTTTTTTTGGACATTTTTTAGCCCCCAATGTAAAAAATAAAAATAAAAATAAAAAAAATCTCTTGTACAAAAAGACTGAGCCAAAATGTTGGAAAGCTCGTAGTATGATAATCAAGTGACAGTATACGTTTTCGAACTGATCAGGGCTGCATCAATTGCCCAAGGTCTTTTTATCGTATCTTCCCAATGCAATAGACACAGAAAGGAAAATTAAAACTGGATTATGAAAAATAATAATTACAATTAGCCAATAAAAACCCAGAGAAAATTAGCATCTAAATATCAATTTAGTCCTTGTTTGGAAATGTTTAAGCAGGGATTTATCTTTGGTGGGTTCTGGAATGTGTATTGTATTGCACTTCGACACTTCTGCAAAGAAAACTGCAAATAAAATCCGAAAAAAAAGAGAAATAAATATAAATACCGCAGGGAGGAAACAGAAAAGCCATTAGGGTATTAAAGTTGCCGCAAATGGTTTTTGACACGAAGGATGGCGAGCCCATTAGCTTCGGTTTAGCTTTTGGTGTAGCCTCTGAAAGAATTGATCGAGGAAAATATTAATTAATTTCCAATATTTAGTTTTTTCCCCCCTAATTTCTGCAAAAGATATATTGTGAAATTACTCAACTCTCTGCTACACCAAGGTGATTTACTTACATTTCAGCAACCGGTTATGCAGATGTTGAGTCCATCTAACATGGGTTTTGCTTGATAGCATTGTTTCTGATCCAGGGGAAAGTGAATTACATGAAGTAGCTGAAACACCAGGAGAAGGCATAGGCAGACTTCACAAATGTTCAGACTGAGGATTGAACAAGTTTTGGCATACCTGTATGTGCATATAATTAACAATCGTGAGAGAATTGAGAAGATTTCTTTACATGTTATTCCGGTAGAAAACAAAAATCAGACCAGAATCTAGAGTGTTTCATAATGTCTATGTTTTTTTTGGATAAATATTTACAAAAAAAATTGTGAATAATATTGTCTTTGTTTTACATTCAAAGATATTTGGATTTGTTTTTTACAACAGTTTTCTGTTTTTGGAAACAAAAAACTTGTTTGGCAGCTTGTTAGGGAGAACTCCTCCTTCGGCACATAGAAAACATGGCCGTTTTTAGGTAACAACAAAAGTTGCTTTTCAGAATTCTCATACGCCATTTCTTTCTAGAAATAATAACAATGTAAAACAATAGAGCTGTCAAGATTTGCAGTGTTTTCTGTTTCCAAAAACATAAATATGAAAACTAAGAACAGAAAAAATAGAAAGCATAACACAGATCCAAACATTCAAAATTGTTGTGAAAATTTGACAATGCTAGACTACAACGTCAACATGAACAGAACTTCTAAAAACATAAATAATACCAAACTGGTCCGAACTATAATAAATTTGATCCCTAGCATGAATCTTAGGCTCTAAAGAGGACTTGCGCTAAGGGCCCTTTTTCCTGTCAAAAGGAACTGAAGGGCTCCTCCAGTCTAAACTTTGACAACCATCAAGCAACTTTCGCTTCAGCATACCCAACCGTTTCCCTGTCTGAAAATTGTTTGAATGAACTATATCAAATCTTTCAGAAGAGCTGCAATTTGGATAGTTTAAGAAACATTGCAAGGCACTATTGGATAGAGGGTTGAGGCTAGATTGCTCTGGTCAATCAGAGGAAAAGCTGTTCCCCAGAGAGATTGATAAGGAGATTAAATTTATGGTGTTGGAAGGGCATAATAGGAATTTTATTTTATTATATCTTAAATGTAAACAATTTTTTTTTTTATGTTCAAAATTAAAGGAGAATACGGCAACACATATTCCAAAGCTTCCTGAGGTGAATGTAAGTTGGGCAGAGTGACTAATGAAGCTGGCAGTTTGTGTTTCACCTTGCTGCTAATGACAGAAACACCATCGTACCATGTTCTTTTTACTATTCATATCTGAAACATGTTTCACAAAGCACTGACTGAGCTTCTGAGACCGGCTTGGGTCTCTCTTTTTTTTTTTCTTTTTTTTTTTTTTTTGGGTTTTGTTTGACAAGATGATTGATGCATTCCGGTACCGGAAATCTTGCCGTGGGAATGCATGTGCTACTTCTCAAACAAGCTGGGTAGGATTAGAGTTTTTGGGGATTAGAAGGGGATAAAGGAGAATTAGGAATAATAATTTCTTAGGTGGGAAAAGGGGGATAAATATCATCCTCCATTTACGACAATTTCATCGTCAAAATGAAACCGACGCAAATCACCGGAACAACTTTGAAGTACTCCGACCAGCCAGTAGGCTTAGGCCCAAATACCATTTAGACAAGTTGATAGAGTGATTCATTGGGAGTATACATGCAATGCATACGGAGGTGCAGGCGAATTTTTGATATCTGAGGAGAAGATTCGGCAATTTGAGCCTCGGCCGGCGATGCCTTCTCAACGTCCAATTGCTGCAACGTGACCGATCTGACGAGGGCCGTCGACATCGTCATGCGAAGGCTACCCATGTCTTGAGCTTTCAAGAACTTCGACGATCTGATTCAACGGTCATCTTCGACCACGAATCATGGTCGGTCGAATACTAGATGCAAGCGGCGAGATAAACTCAGGCACGTGTGAATTTTTCTTCAAGAAATTAAATTCAGAATCATCAATGCTTCTGATACGTTCGGTGGCGGTGGGCGCGACCGCACAGGACTGATTTTTTTAAAAAAAAAAATTAATTATCAAAACAGCTTGAGAAAAGTTCTAATTTTATTTAATTAAAAACCAAAATATATAATCTGAGAATTAATTATTAAAGTTATCAATAATTTATTAATAATTTAAAAATTTATTGTATCAAAATGAATATTAGCTTATTACATTTATATTTTTCTAAAATAATAATTTTACCAAGGGGACAACCAATCCCATAATAACCTTTTTGACGAATTGGGTTGAAATGTTTGCCGAGTAAATAACGTTTATTTACAACAAAAGCACTTCAATTATATATTACAATTAATTAGGAGGAGTCATGTGCAATAATTAAATTATCCTTGGGCTGGTAATTTCGGAGAACAATCGGCCTTGTTTGGCTCTTCGAGCTGCTGTCAACGGCACTTGGATTCCAAACCAAAGCCCCGTGAGACTTGGGCTTTGCCAGCTATATCTTGCGTTTCCGTCTCTCTCACTTCACTTCCTACTCCTGGCTTGGACCACACCTGCAATTCCCAAAATGACTCTCTTCTTCTTCGAATTTACGCTAAAAAAACCATCGTACTTTCGGAGTGCTACAACTGAAAAACTGTGGGGGCAAAGACCTGTTTGGTTTTGGGAAATTAAGAAGCCAATTAAAGAAGTAGATTTACAAAGTTGTGTACTTATGATATTATATGTTACAATAATGAAAAGAATTTCATATTGTTGACTATTTGACAACTAAATTTTTCAGGGCTTTTTTCTTCTTTTTTTTTTGTAGAAGTGATCACAAAAAAATGAAGAGAAACAGGCAACCATGAACCGAGTTATTACTGATATTAAATTTACCCTGACAAGAACAAGGTGAATGTTGTGCATCCTATTTGAAGAGTGTTGTCTTTTTTGTTTTTGGAAACATTTTAACCCCGATGACCTGCTACTTCCAACAACATAGACATGTACAGGTCCTTGTCTGGTGTAATGCCCAAGAAAAACAAAAACAAAACCGAATAAAAAAAGGAAGGGAACATGCCCCACTTCACAATCTGCAAAAGCGAGCTGGCATTGTATTCAAATTACCAAATGTCTAGTGGCATTTTGGTAATCAAGATCCTTTATATATACCCATTTTAACCCAAGACAGGACGCAGTTATCCTCCACAACCACAATGGCTGGCCCATCTAATTTCAAATCCCCTACGTCATTCCTTGTTGTTTTCTCCAAGAGTTTACCTCCTCTTTCTTCATCATCATCTTCAAGCTCCATGAAGCTCAAAACCTTAATCCACCCTCTCTTCTTCTCATACCTACGCCGTTTAGTTCGGTCTCTTTCGAAAGCTAAGTCCTTTCTCATTGACCCCATAAAGAAGAGCAAGAGCAAGAACAAGAACAAGAACAAATTATTCTTTGGTTCATTCAGGCTTCATTATAATTGGTGTTCTTCTCATGTCGTGCCCGTGCCATCACCGGTTCTAGAGGAGCATTTATACTATGATTCCACCTGGAATTCTGTCATTTCCACCGAGTGCGAGGATATGGGAGATTCAGGGCTTTCAGGGTATCTCCAATGGCTAGAAGAGAAGAAGGTCCATCGCCATGAGAGTTCTACTGATAATAACGAAGATATCAATGAGATTGACAAGCTAGCAGATATGTTCATTGCAAACTGCCATGAGAAGTTCATGCTGGAGAAACAAGAGTCCTATAGGAGATTCCAAGAAATGTTAGCTAGAAGTGTGTAAGGATTAAGGCTCTCCCTTTAGATGCCAAGCCTCTCTGCCTCTCTCTCTCTCTCTCTCTCTCTCTCTCTGTTGGGGATGAGGATGATGAGTTAGGTAGGAACATAAGTTGGGTGTGGATTTCTTTAGCTAGTCCTCTCTCTCTCTCTCTCTCTCTGACTGTGTCTCTTGATGGGGTTTGGAGAATTGTACATGATGAATGTTGGGATTTGTGCAATTCTCGTATTTGCAATGGGAGTATGTGCAACTATAATACTTGCAATCTTTTCGGATTGAACTTCGTTCTGAAATTAACCTTATTTATGTGTAATTTAAGTCCTAACTTTTGATACGTATAATTATTCTAATTCTCACTCCAAAACTCAAGCCTTCATAAACTGACAAGTCCTTGCAAAATCTCAAAACACTTGTAGTTGTACTTTAAAGGAATCATCATTATCACCATCATGATCGTGGGTTTTGCTTTTAACGTGGGTCCATCTATATGTGAAATTACATGATAAATATCTCTATATTTATTTAATGTGGACCTTGGTTGTCTGGTTAGTAATTTGAATTCTGCTTTATGGCATCAAAAGGAAGGAAGCTAAAGCTGTTTAATTGTGTGTAGACTTGGTTTGAAACTTAAACTAGTTTGTCATGGAGATTGCAAGTCATTTACTTTGCCTTGGTTAATTTGCGGATGTTTATATTTATTTCGTTTATCTTTATGAACATACATAAAGTCAAAGGCGGAATAGAAAACTGAAAGTGAAATATTATGCGTGTGAGATGGCAGGAGGATGAGAGATTCAATCTTTATCCCACACTCATTCTCCCACTTCCGTTTTTTATGTTTGTTTTTGTAAATGTATACAAAATAAATGTAAAAATAACAAACAAACCATTTATATGTATAAACAGCGTATACATTATTCTCTTTTATTTTCTTTTCCTTTTTTTCTTTGTTCGAATTATATTTTGTTGGGATATTATACATCGGTTATAGAAAATGTTAGTAATTAGTGTGTGTGCGCGTGTATAAGAAAAATTCTCATCTTAAAAGCTAATTTTTGAAACTAAAAATGTCCAAAACTATTTAATACATTGATATTAAAGCTCAAATTTCTACATTTTCTTGTATCTGAATTTACTCTTCACTAATATTATATTTAGATTCTATTTTACTCAATACATGAATAATAAAAAATTATTAAAGTATCTCACATTAATTATAAAAAAATTAATAATAAATATATATATATATATATAAAATTCTCAATCTTGATAAACTAGTTTAAAAAAACTCAAAATCACCTCGTCACAAACTTTAAGTTTGTAAATTTTAATTCCATTATTTCGTGAGTTAACTATTTTGGTCCGTCGTGTGTGCATACTGGGACAACTGCCCTCTTTTTAGGGGAATTTGGTGTATCTTCTGGATCTCTCTGTTCATATACCTTTGAACTAGCTTTTGGACTTTTCCTCTCTCTCTCTCTCTCTTACCCTCCTCCATAGTTTAATTTAGAATGGGTCCCAAATTGATGCTTTTTATCTTTTAGCAATTTGTACAAGGCAAGATAATATATTCGAGTGGATGAGGATAATTTAGTAGTGATTAAGGTAGGATTTAGTGGACTTAAGCTATTGCAAAACGGAGATTATCACTATTCTTTGTCTTTTTTCTTTTTTATTTCTTCCAAGCAACGTGTTACATCATCACTTATTACTTTTGACCAGCTTATTAGGAATCACCAATATTTTCTTATTTTTTAATTAGAAAAGGAAAAAGGCCTTCTCGATATTGGGTTTATTTTTGAAAAAAAAAATTAAATTAAATTAAATTTTGCCTAGGGTGGCACACTATTGCATATTTTTTAAATTAGTCGCGTTTGTTTAAATTATTTTTATCAATATCTTATCTTAAATAAATAAAGAGTATAACGATCCAGGTATCACAAAAAAAAAAATTATATATCCCAAGCAAAAGAAAAAATTAAATTGCAAACAACTAAAAATTCACAAATGGTTTTGTAAGAAGAATTCAGAGCAATCTGTGTGTGGGCACAAGTGACATTTGCAAATGGATCTTGTAGCTTAATTATGCATGTCTTTAATGGCTAATTTTGTAATTTTCGAAGATTTTTAAGCCTGATTTTGTCTTTTTGAAAGATTTTTAGGTTATGAATAAGCCTTGAGTACGAACTTATCACAAAAGTCCATAACTTCAAAAGCTTCCACTAAAGAAGAAATTTGTGGGTAGTGGGAGTTGGTGGCCATGTGCTCGTGGCAGGGGATTAGGGTTCATGACATAACACACTGAAAATGACATAACCAAAAGACTCACAGACGTAAACAATATATATCACAAATTGGAGATTAATTAATCAATTTAATAATCACCCCCCTATGTCCTCCATGGGCCCTTGAAAGCTTACTTGCTTAATTGGGTTCCAATAGTTACCTCTCACTGATCTTGGTTTTATGGTAAAATTGCCTTTTTACTTAAAAGAGAGTTGAACATTTGTAAATAGAAAAATCGAATTTAAGTGCACATTTAAAAAATAATTCTTATTTTTTTAACTTAGAATCTTTATCTTTTCAACTAAAAACATTAATTAATATTTGCAAATAAAAAAATAGAACCAAATTAAATATTTGAGAAAAATATCGTATCTTTTTATCTAGAACATAAGTATTTATAAATAAAAAGACCGAACCTAAGTGAAGAAAAATCAAATCCGACACATACATAAGTGAAGATGCTAAGAATTGATATTTCTACGTAATATTCTTCGTAGTCATAAGAAAGTATACAGTAAACTTCTTACCAATTTAATAATTTGCTAATTTTTGTTAAATATCCAATTAAAAACCGAGTTAGAGTGACTTAGTTTTTTCTTAATTTATTCTTGTTAAGATCAAGGTAGACATTATTGGCTTGTTCTTTCAATTAACTAGGAGGATCATCAAACTTATTTCCCTTAAAAGAATTATACCAATGTTAATTCGCAAAGAATTATTTAAAATTAAAAAAAAGTAAGACTCTTTGGACCCATTTTTCTTTAAATTTTAAATATCTTTACCAAATTTGGTGTACCCACAAAATCATAAAATGGCCTATCTTATGTCCCTTCCACACCTAGAAGCCATGGATGGATCTTTTTTCTAGACTCGGCCAATTTCTTCTTGAAGGGGAGCCGTCGGCAGTTATATGTGATTCCTTTTGCATCCCCTGAATTGTCGAATCGAACTGTGCCATTGACCATCCCGTGGACGAATTTGGGTCCCTCCAGTCCAGCCAATCTCATAAAAATTTGAATTTAAATTAAATAAAAAATCTTTAATTTTAATTTGATAATTTAATTTTTTAAAATTATTCAGGCAAAATAAAATAAATTAAATTAAAATGTTTTAAAACGAAAGCGACCCCTGATCCTACTTTGGATAACCTTCCTACAAAATTTACCGGCTGAAGCTTCTCGGATTTTGTTCCCGTTGGCACGAGGTTTTCAAGATCAGGACCTCCGGTGTCCTGTCTACAACAACAATTCTGAATTATTCTTTTGGCTTGTGAAACACTGACAATTCCTTCACCCTCTCTTTGTCTCTCGCCAAACTGTCAAAAACATAACAAAATGCAGACCCCTTGAATAGCATGAGCATTTTGCACGAGTCAGGATTGAGGGGCCTCTTTCACCCCAAGAGTCGAGAAGTCATCTTTGTCAACAAGTTTTGGAAGTTTTCTTTCTTCTGTTTGAGTCTGTGTAGTTTTGTTTTAGACTCTGACCGATTTGTAACTCCAAAAACAAAAAAGCTAAAGTGACAAAATAATTTTGAAAATTTTTAAGAGCTCCTTAACAAATTACTATTGCTTTTGCTTTGCCCATGAATTTTGTTTTTTTTTGCAATAAGGCTCTTGTCATTTTCTTTTTAATATATTAGAGATAAAACCTAAGAAAATATAAAAATTAAACTCTTTAAAGCACTTTGTCTCAGATAATGTAAAAATATATTCCATCATTTACCCTAAATTTTCGATTTGACAAAACATGCATGTCACAAGAACTATCCCACGTCATATAGGAAAAAGAAGGGTCTTAAACTTATAAGTGCAGGTGCTGCATACTCTACTAAGTTAATCTTTTGAAAAAAAAGTTAATGGCCGATGACACTAGAGTGTGTGTTTGTGCAAACTATTTTTTAATAAGTTTGCTTGTTTGCGTTATTGTTTCACATATTACTTTTCTCTAAATTTCAGTTCAAAATAGTCCGAACTATAAGTATCTAAACACATATTTCTTATACCTAATGATATAATTGTAAATAATTGAAATTTTTGTTAGACAAATATATGCTAATATTTTTATTATAATCTTTATTCTATAGTTATTTATTTTAATTAAATCAAAAATAAAATTGAAGGTGAAATTATATTGAAAAAAAGAATATCAAAAATTAGATTTTAAAAATTATTAATAACTTATATGAAGGTAACTATATAAATTATTAATAATTTATTTATTTGTTGTTTTAATATATTTAAAATTTTATTTACAACTAAAAAAAATTTATTTTATAGTCATATGCATCATTTTTTAAAAGAATAATAAATTAGATATTTTAATATAATAAGTAATTACAACATTATTTTATTATACATTAATTAATTAAATTTTTATTATTTTTTTAGTAAAATTTACAAATATACTTGATTTTTTTTATTTTTAATATTATTTAAATTATTACTATTTTTAGTATATTTTCAAAAATAGTAACTCGCAGAAATAGGACAACAAATGTATTAAAAGTTTGTGTGTGGTAAATAGCTATTATCAAAGGTGAATCCAAAAATCAAACAAATGCCCACGTCGGGCGGCCGGCTCGTACTCATGGTAGATATTGGTGGGTGTTTGGTACACACCTTCTAAATTAAAGAAAATAAACAAGTCTTCTTTTAAAAAATGGGGCACACCAAACATATTATTATTCATGAGCATTTACTTAACCGAATACCTTCACCT